CTAAAGAAAACCATCGTCAACCAAAAATTTTCGAATGTCATGGAAAAACATGGTGTTTCGCAGTTGCTGATCTTGCGAAAGCACAGTCAAGCAGTAAAGAATTTATAACATTGCCAAAAAATGATAAATCTAGAATAATTGTTAGAAAAAATAATTTCAAGTGAAGAAAAAGTTTTTTAATGAGTGGAAATAGGGATACTCTGTAAGAAATGTGAAGGGAGATTATTTTTGAGAAACTTTTGACACTATATTTTACGTTACGTTACGTTACGTTGTTACAAGTGTGTTTCGAGTTTACTTATTTTTGTTGATTAACCAATTGACTTAAAAGATTTCTATCAAATCATATTAGATGAGATTTCAAGCAAGAATGGGACTTTTACATATGCATGATTATGAGTAAATTGTAAATTTCTTCAAAATTACAAAACGAAAAATGAAATGATCTGCGAACTTTCCGAACCGAACAACATTCGTATTAACATGAAAGTATAACATCTTAATTAACCCGTGGAAAGAAACTGACATTGTTACAGTGTGAAAATATTGACCACAACACACACAGTAACATTGCATGGGTCTCACGTTTTTATTCATGCTTTTATCCGAGAAATCTATTGCAAGTAGATTGTTAATACGATACCAGTACTAATTATTGCTAGTATTCTGTTTAGTATTTCTGCGCCATATAGATTTAACCCTGAGCACGGGAGACTTTTTTGCGAGAAAGCAGAAAGAAACAATGCATGGAATCGGCAAGAAATGACCTAAAATAACAGATAATATAGCAACTACATTAAAAGTAGAAATTGCAAAAAGAACTCGAAACAACAAGTTTTAAAAGAATATATAAAAAACCAAAAGAATATTAAAAGCAAGCATTCTGAGAACATTACACTAGCAATTCTAATCCACTATCGGCAAATGTGATCTGGCCACCATAAAAAAATTAAAAATGCATAAATACAATAAAACAAATCATTTAAGAGGAAAAATGCAAACCTGATCTATAACTTATCAAGATAACCTCACAAAAACGATATCTGCAAGCGATTTGGGAACTATCCCCCCAAAGGTCGTAATTCCATTAAAAATCAAAACAGCCGAAATAAATGTAAACATAACATTACTCTTCAGGATAACTAACATACCAAATCTCAGCCAAATGTCTGCCAGCGCTTCTGGAAAAAAAATGCTGAAAACCAAGTGGGATACACAAGATACAGACAGAGGGGCAAACAAGCACAGTCTCCTCCGGGTTCATCGATAGGGAACTTATAAACTACACAAAAGGAATGACTGTTCATTCAGCAAGAATTTCAAAAAGATTAGTTTTTCGAGATCTCTACGAGAATCTGAGTGATTTGACTTGAGGACTTGTTCTTAACCTCGTTCAGTTTTAAAAAGGTCTGGCAAGAGAAGGATACGTCTCAAAACTACACAAGACGTAATGAACCGAAAAAGCCACAATCTTCGCTGTCAACAGCATGAAATAATAGACAATGGAAGCAGAGCAAGCACGTTCCTAAAAAATCAAACGTGGAATAAGGTGCCATGGAGGAGTGAGCTTCACCTGGCGACTGGATACATTCGCAGTATGCCCCTTATCATGATTAAGAAAAAACACATAAAAATCTGCAAACAGTTCAGCGAGTAAATAATGGCCAAACAATTAGAAACAGCCATCATTGTATCATCTGTAACACTATACTAAAAATGATGACTTCAAACGAGACTGTTAAAATCTTCTTTTTTTTGTCCTTTTTTTTATTAAAGAGAGTTGGATTAACAAAAGCAGAATTAATTTCCAGTTTCTCTAATATACCATTCAAATTATGAGCAAACAAAGCTGACGTCGTAACCTGCTGACCAGTCACCAGTATACTAGTATACTGATCGTGTAATCTACCTACTTCTTATTTCACTTCTGCATTGTCGAAAACAGAAGGATGAATGATTTTAAGATTGACTTATCGCTTTGTCCAAAATTTCAACATCCATCTGACACATTCAATCCATTCTAACAAAATGTCGATGTATGTTTGTAAGAAATACAAGAGTAGACTTCAAATTGAAATATGCTATGTTATTTGACAGAACATTATGAAACAGAACACATGGGATCGGAAAAAGAATCTTCAGGCGACATATTTCTGATAGAAAATTTACATTCCTTCATATTTTTTTGCATGAACTGTTGGTTATAAACCCAAACCGATTGCACCTTTGGCATATGTTGACTAAAGCTGGAAGCTATCAGAGTGTTTAAGGATGTAAAAGGCGGAGATAACGAACAGAACAGTTAAGAAACAATTTAGCACATCGGCGAACTGCACTGTGCAACCTGGATAGGGTGTTTATGCCGAAGACGCTTATAAGTTATCAAATGTTGCTTTGACTTTTAAAATTTACCCATTTATGATCTGTATGTAAATATTATAGCACACACTTGAAACTGCAGCAACTAAAAAAGCAAGTTTCAACTAATACATGTATGCGATAAAAATTCAAACCCCATATTTTTGACATTATTATTTAATAAGCTTCATTTACGTCATATTGCACTCTGCACCTTTCACTTTCGTTAATTATTGCCTTTGTTTTATTTTTTTCTATATAAATATAATAAACTAATAGAACAGATTTGGCAGTACACATTTGGATTATTATTGAGAAGAATTTAATATTTGACTGCGGAATTTATTAACATCTTCAATATAATTATGTTGTTTTTGTTATGATCGTTAGGATCCTCATGTGTTTTCCATGACCTATATCAGATCTCAGTTGATTCGATACACAAGAGTGTGCTCTACCTAACTGGTACAACTTCTAAAACGAGGTAAATTATTGACAAATAAGTTTATGAAACAAGAATATCAGAAGTCTCGTTTAACGTCATTATTTCGATAGTTCTATGGTCGATACAATGACCTTGTCTGAGTTGTCAGCAAATACAATTTATTATTGAGTCAAATGATGAGTGACGTTTTTGATATTAAATGTTAATCCATCATTTACACACTAAATTGTCGACGAATTTTTCAGTTATTTCTCGATCATGACAAGAACCACAAGGCGGGTGTGCGTGCCCGGTCGGCAAGGGATGCTTATTCTTCAGTAGTGCCTGGTCCCATATTTGATGTTCTGGAGGTCCGTGTTTGCTCTGCTGATATTTTGTATTGTTTAATGAACGTTTGAGCTTGAATATTATCCGTTATCTCCATGAAGGATATGGAGATATAGAACAGTATTCAATATCAAAGTCCATAAAGCAATACAAAATAGGAACAGAACAAACACGGACCTCCAAAAACATCAGAGGTGGGATCAGGTGCCATGGAGGAATGAACATCCCTTGCCAACCGGTCACATCCGCCGTGTGCTGGTGTCATGATCGGGATATAACGGAAAAATTCGTCGTCAATTCAGTGTATAAATAATGGACTAACAATTAGTATGAAAAACATCAGTCAGCATTTAATGCAATGATAAATTGTATTTGCCGACAAGGTCATTGTATCGACCATAAAACTTACGAAATGATGAATTTAAACGAGCCTGCTGATTTTCATGCTTCATCAACTTGTTTGTCAATAATTTACCTCGTTTTAGAAATTGTTCATGCGTAGAGCATGCTCTTGTTATCGAATCAATTGAGATATATAAATTTCGTATGCAGTTGATGAAGGTATATTGCTGTATAAGTAAGGGAAGTTGACGATAGAAAAGTTAAAGTCATTACTTTATCATAGAGCTTGGTTGTAAGATTACCATTAATGTCTTTTTCAAGTAAAATATCCAAGTATGAAACAGATGTGTCAGATTCTGTGGTATCTTTTATCTCAAGGTCATCAGGATATCGACATAGGAATGGAAACTACCATTGTTAATTGACAATACGTCGTAGATATATCTAAATGTCGAGTTGAAGGCCACAGCAAGTGTTTTATTCTTTTCACGCTTAAGATTTTGCACAAATTCTGCTTCATATGAATACAAAAATAGGTCTGCTAATAACGGAGCGCAATTGGTACCCATGGGATTTTCCAATAAATTGTTGGAAGACCTGGTCTCCAAAAACCACATAGATATTGCCAATCAAAATTCAAACATCTTTTTGATGTCAACTTCAGAGTACTTGTGTTTGCAATCAGAATATGTTTTAACAAAATAATTTTGCAAATGACCAATAACAATGTTAGTAAATTTACGAGTCCTATTTTTATTGAAAAAGCAGTTGTCAATGATATATAAAAAAAAGCCTGGACTTTAATTTATCATGGGTAGTGGTTGTGTTTAAAGTTGAAAAGTAGTAAGTTTTTAAGCTGTTGATTTTGGTAAAATCTTGTGATTTTAAATTGTCCGAAAGTTCTTTAAAATTTTTGAGTATCCACATCTGATTCACACCACTTCTTGAATATACCGGTATTGTTGCATAGTACTCTTGAAGCTTTTCCTTCACTACTGTTAATATATTTCATGGAAAATTACTTAATGATTAATAGATGTTTGTTTCAAAAAATAGTTCTTAACATTAAACAACAGAGATACAAAACTTGGATCGGAAATATATGTCAAATGCATTTTACATACCACATGTAAAAGTGTAAATTATGCCTTTTGTGAGTAAATTCTTTTATAATTCTGAAAAAAACTGCAATTTCAGTGTTCAATATATTGTTTATTGGGGTAATAGACTGAAGTTTATGGCTAAACATTTTCCTAATCTAGAAAATTGTCTCTTGATTTGGATAAGTATTAAATTTCATGCCTGATTTCATTTCAATAGCTTGCCCCCAAGTCAACTTTTTTTCACAGTTTTTTTTTATTGTGTTTATTTCTAGATCCTTAATTATTCTCAAGGTCCATGGCAACACGTGTCCTTTTTATATCCTATGAGGTGTATGGGCTCAATATGTTTCACGTATTTTTATCTGACTGATTCTCACCTTCTCATTTTCCAAACCTTGACATTTTCATCCTTATTAGCTAGAGGAAATGATTGGAATGCCTTTTGACTTGAAGAAAATTAATGCAGTGTCTTAAACAGTAATCTCAAGATTCCATGGTTTGTTGAGAAGAAGGAAGTAGACTTGATTGAGGATCAGAAATTCATCATACCTTTACAGGGGTCATATTTCATACAACTTCATAATCTAGTAGTGTCTGCGGCCAGGCAGAATAAACAGAGACCAATCGAGTCCGCCCAATCAATACTTCTATAAATAGGAGACGGATTGGAGCCTCTTTACTTTATCCTTTGACAGTCTGCTTCTCTCAACACATGTAAGTATCACTCGTTTTTGTTGTTCACGCTTTTTCACATTTTTCTTTCTTACTTTATGTCGTCTTGAGAAAATATTTTTTGTAGAAAACCTTTTTAAATTTATTAGAACATTGTAAAATTACTGTAATTTGCTTTTTTAAGCTTTCTTCCTATTTCAGAAAATATATATATACTAGTATTCACTTATCATTTTAACCTCTTTTTAAAGTAAAAGTACATATTTTGTTTTGATGCAATGCAAAGTTTGGAGTTTTGAAATATAATTTTTAAGTTATTTTTTTATGTCCTGCAACTTTTGCGTCAGCTAAAATTTAAAAAATATAAATGGAGCTTTTTATTTACAAAGAAGAAATTAAACAACTGCTGAATTCTATTTAATGACATGCTCATATAAACAACAAATCTAGCACAAAGTACAAGGACAAAGAATACTGCTAAACTTATATTTAAAAAAGGTCAAAGAAAAAGCAAGAACTACTTTTAGTGTCGAATAAAACCATACCATATTGAATGTCCTACATATCTAATGTGCAAATTCATATTTATTGCTTCAGGTAAATTGAAATGTGTGCTTTTCACAAGAAAGGTCGATCACAAAGTCTGCCTAATTGGAATGGCGACCAGGATGACAAATTACATTATAGATTGACCATCATGGGCGCCGCCGGGGTAGGCAAGAGTTGCATAATTTCCCAGTTCCTTTACGATCACTTTATCAATGAGTATAAAGAAACTGTTGAGGAGTTTCACCGCCGAGAATACACCATAAACGGCAGAGACTTAGTTCTTGACATTCTAGACACGGCGGGTGCACATTCATTTCCGGCCATGCGCAGACTGGCTATTTCAACGAGTGACGCTTTTGTTCTGGTATACTCCTTAGACGATGAATCTTCGTTTCAAGGCGTGAAATATTTGCGAGACATAATCTTAAGTGAACGAAAAGGTGAACATGTGCCGATAGTCGTCGTTGGAAATAAATCGGACATTTCGGATGAGAAGAGAGCTATAATGCGTCAAACGGCTGAATCCATCGTGTGTTTTGACTGGGGTAACGGGTACATTGAAGCTTCAGCTAAAGACAACATCAATGTCGTCGGAATATTCAAGGAAATTTTGAGACAGGCGCATGTTGAGCTAAGTAATACACCACTACCTAAGAGAAAGCGCTTTGGCTCAACGTCCTCAGAGGGTTCTGACATTTCTTACAGTTCGGAGACGAGGAAAAGAAACAGTTGTGTTATTACATAGCTAGCCTTTCCCCACTACCATTCCTTTTGTAAAATGTTTATAAATAAAATATAAAAAAGAAATTGCATTTGAGAATGTTTGATTTTAATGTCCAATCAGTATTTTCTTGTACAAAGAGAGCGTCTTGAATATGAAATATATTTTCCAAGAACACAAATAGCACTTATTTGCAGTTAACTGATTTTAACCATAGCCCAGCTCCCCAAAAGCACTAGGCAGATGTCTGTGTAGCCTTGCTCTTTAGGAAACTTTAACTCCTTTTCATTCTGGTAATTGTAAAATAAGTAAAAGCATTTTGACAATGTTAATGTGCTTACTATCTGTATCTCAATGAAAAGGTGTAAAAATGTAACAATTATAGATGAGAGAAGACTTCAAATATATAAATTCAAAATAATTTTATATATGGCATATTGAAGAAGTACTGCTATAATTCTAGTACTAGAATTAAATGACATTGACACTTTTGGAAATGCTCTAAAACATTTCATAGTCAAGGAACTTAATTTTCGCCTGATTGTGCAAGGACATCTGAATTCAAAAATGTCATTCTTGCTTATGATTATTGTTTTAAAGATTATGTAACAGAAAAAAAAAATTCTGCCATGATTTAGAAAAATAAGATACAATATAAATGTCTTGCGACAATTTCGCTTTTTTTAAATTCTTGGTTAATACCTGTCTTTTATTCAGGCAGCGTATATTATACACCCTTTTGCTAGAACCTACCTCTATCATTATGTTCCCGTTTTATGTCCTGGTTAACTAGTGAACATGATATTTTCTTTGTCTTATATCGAGAAAACACTAGATCATGGGTTATACCTATAAATACATTGCTTTCAAGAGTCTGCGTCTCTTTTGCTCTTGTCGGTTATATGCATCACTTGCACTCAAATGGTCGTAAATAAAAGGCTTTCTCGTGCGTCCACGAAACAAACAGATATTTCTGCTCGCCGAGGGAGCAATATGCCTCTGAATTTATTTCTATAGAGAATTCATAAAGAAAAGAAATTCCAATATATTAGATTTGTCTCTACTTCGAGTTCATTTTTATCTGGCCTATGTGTCTGCAAAATACTCGGTCAAGAAACAGATTCCCGGACAACAAGCGGTCATTCCTTTCTAGGGCAGAAAATCGATACCATTCTCAGTACCCGAGTTTTTTTTCCCTTCAGAATACTATATCATCGGTGTTAGACAGAGATAAGCTAGAGACTCCGTTTATATAACAAAACTCCGTATAAATAAAAAAAACCCACCCCTTTTCTACAAACATGGCGATAGAATAACAATAGTAAAAACCAGTAAAGTGAGTACAGAGTATGTATGTGTTCTTTTAAATGCCTCATTGAAATCTGTCTATACAATTGTACTTCATTTTTAAAACGAGAATTCTTCAGTGGAAGTAAAACTCTATAATGATAATCTAAAGCAACTCGACCCATCTCATTTGAAAAAAAAATTGAGCAAGCCTATCCTGCATGAATACAGTTGTACTATACAGAGTTTGGTAGTGGTTATCGACCCTCTGGGTCAGCTAACTCTTACACCGACATTTTTTTTTATAATTTATGTCAGTGATTTATGAAATACTATAGGATGGAATATCAAGATAACAAACAGCTTTCATGCTCTAAAGTCCACTGAAATAATATATATCAGTAGAGGAAACACGAACCTGTAAAATCATCAGAGATTGATGTAGGTGCCATGGAAGAGCAAGCATCCCCCGTCGGCCGGTCACGCCTGTCTGTACTCCATTCCACAATTGGGCAATACTGCAGACAATCAAGCGCAATGGCCCGACGATGTACATAAAAAAAGTCAGCCAAACACTCGACCTAACGAGAGATTGTATTTGCTGACAAGGTCAGTATATTGAACCTCGCAAAATGTTGACTTTAAAAGACGTGACTTTTGATATCGTTGTCTTACCAATCCGTTTGTCAGTAGTCAGTCTAGCTTCAGAAGTTGTATGTAAGTATTTTTAAAAAGCATATTTTGCATATCGAATCAATCGGAAGATATAAACTTTAGATAAGGTGAAAAATGGTTTATTGCCATTTATTTTATTAAATATTATAGCTAGAATTTTATTTTATCATCTTTCTTCATACTTCGTAGTTTTATGTGGATCTGTTGAATTGCTATATAGAAGAATCAAAACAGGTAGTTCACAAAGAATATTTGGCTTTTTGTAGTTTCATTTGAATGGATTTCATTAGTTTTTATGTTTTTTATCGTGTTTTGATAAGCACATAGCTGAATGAATTTATTAGATTTCAAAAAGCATTCATTCTTCGTCATTACCCTCTGAAATGTTTGTTTGCCATCAAAGCAAAGAGAGATTAAATTTATAAAAACTTAGACTTTTGTACACAAATCTGAAACCTGTTTTCTTATAACGCCGCCTGTATAAGAAAGCTGGATTTCTTGCACCAGGGCTATTTTAACCGCAACTACAATAAACACAAGAAAACATTGATGTAACCATCAATTGTCGCCCGGGAAATATAAAGTAAACAATGAAAATGAGCCTTGTTCATAAAACCGCTTCGATATGTGTGAAAAGGTATGCGTATTATTGATGGAGACGATAGTCGCGAATATTTTGAAAACTTGTAGTCGGATCAAAATCAATCAAAAACGATACAATTTTAAACTTGATCAATTCCTAAAGTAAAGTTTGGCTGCATAAAATATAAATTGAAGTTAGACACACGCATCACCTATATTTAAAAATGTATTAATTTTCAATTTTAGGATATAAACCATGAACTGCGCAGAGTACGTTTTTATCCGAGAAGTAAAATTTGATGTTCTAAAAAAGAGGGGACCTGTCGTTTTTCGATAGTAAATGATAATCAACTTTATATATTAAATGTGAAAAACATATACATTTTTACAGATTCACTTCATGGAGGTAAATATATTATGTATCTCGTAGTTTATAAACGGAAAGAACATCCTGATTAACAATCTTTTCAATGTATAGAAAACCTTTAATTCTAAATAACTACTCCCACCCCAATCCCCATACACCAACACTTAAACTTATATGTATGGAGCAGCCCGGTCCTCCGGGCTGCAATAACCATGGTCTACGGAAATTTCTAAATTACAAGCGGATATTTCATGGATACACATCTGCATGTTTTATTTTCTTTCCATGAGTTAGGCCTTTTCATGCCAAAATCGAGAATGAGCAAATATTAAGATAACTAGGTATGAACTTACAAACTGCCGCTGTAAGTCAGACGATGTTCGATTTGACGAAAAAGGCCAACGCTTGCAGGTTCCTTAATTGGACTAAAGACAATAAACACAAATTGTATTACAGCCTAATAATCCAGACCTCAGATGTTTGCAGACTAAATCATTGTGTCCACTTAACAATACAACGATTTGTCGCTTTCGGAGGACAAAAAATCATTAACAAAGTACGGTAGAACAAAATCTGAAAAACAGTGTGGCAAGGATAGACCCCATGTCCTT